TGAAGGCAATGTTAGGTTTTCCAAGAATTAGAGTGAATGACGGAAGAACAAAAAGGATTAAAAACTGCAGCAAAGCTACAGAGCCTTGTTCGGCTTGCGTTTGATTTATTTCTGCTTTACGTTCCGCTAAATCAAGGAAAAGTCTCTCATACACTGGCAAAAATATTATTTATTTAAACAGGAAAGACAGGAAATAAATGCCAAAGATTTGCACCATAGACCTGGTGGAAAATTTAGCTAAAGATTTATAGCTTGCACACACATGAATGTAAAAACTTTCTACTCTTTCCAGACACCATGTGTCCTTAGATACTAGCCCCATCAGATACTTGCCAATCAAGGAGCAGAGATTTGATACCCACACACTTTTGTGTTGGCAAAGGAAGGATACACACCTGGGAGGCACTACTGGGAAGTAAAGTATTGGGCCCATACAGATCCTTGAAGCCATTTGATTTGAATTGGAAGCTGCAAAGGATTGGGATCTTCCTGGACATCTCAGCCAAGCAGCTGTCATTTTACAACGCCCATAAGAAGCCAGCTCTGTACACTGTTACTGTTGCTGATGGCAGCAGCCAGGAGGGGAAAGTCCTTCCCTTCTGCTCAACATGCCTTGCTGCTGCAAAGCCTGGCACTGAGCCTCTGAAAATAGGACAGTGTTTTGATGGAGATGACTCGTTCACTCGATGTTGTGAAGGTCTATAATATACAGCTAGGGATCACACTGCAGTGTTATCAGGCTGCTCCCTAGTTCATGTCTCTTGAATGAAGCTAAAGCACAGAGAGGACAGATCTATCATAGCGGCCAGCTCCGAAATTGTTTAAACTATGCATCAGCATGAAGCAGCTTTTGAAGGAAATTTCAGGTGCTCAAGAAAATCAAGCGATCTTTCATGGACTAAACACTTCTGATGGAAAGTGAGTTTCCAAAAAATTACTATCCTTTTCCTGATATTCTGTGATCTGGGGTTTTATTGGGGACGGAGAATGATAAAGCGGCTTGGCAGCCATCTGGTGGGTGGCCAAGGTCAACCCAGCACACATGTCCACACAGCTTTTGAATATCTCCAAGGACAGAGACTCCACAGCCTCTCTGCGCAACAAGTATCTCTGCTTCGTCACCTTCACAGCCACAAAGCTTTTCCTGATGTTCAGAAGGAACAACCTGTGTTTCAGCTGTGCCCATTGCCTTGTGTCCGGTCAATGGCACCATGGAGAAGAGCCTGGCTCTGTCCTCTTTGCACCCTCCCTTCGGGAACTGATACACATTCGTAAGATCCCCCTCAAGTCTTCTCTTCTCTAGGCTGCAGAGTCCCCCCTCTCTTAGCCTTTCTTCATGTGAGAGATGCTTCTATTCCTTCACCATCTGTGTGGCCCTTCCCTGTACTCTCCCCAGTATGTCCACGTCTCTTGCGTACTGGGGAGCCCAGGACAGCAGGTGTGGCCTCTTGAGTTCTGAGGAGAGGGGAAGGATCACCTCCTTTGACCTGAAGTCACCACTCCTCCCAATGCATCCAAAGGCACCTTTAGCCCTCTTTGTCGCGGAGGTGTATTGGTGGCTCCTGTTTGACCTGGTGTCCACCAGGACCCCAAGGTCTCCTTCTGCTGAGCTGCTTTGCAGCTGGGTGGCACCCAGTGTGTGTTGACGCCTGAGGCTGTTCCTCCTCAGGGCAGCGCTTTTGCACTACTCCTTGTTGAACTTCAAGAGGTTCCTGTCAGGCCATTTTTCCAGCCTGTTGCTGTCTCTCTGGATAGCAGCATGACGTTCTATGACCATGGTGTATAAGTCAGACCTCCCAGTTTGGAGTTCTCAGCAAAGTTGCTGAGGGTGCAGTCTGCCCCATCATTGAGATCATTAATGAAGATGTTGAACAGGACTGGATGCAGCATTGACCCCTGGGATACACTGCTGGATACTTGCCTCCAAGTAGAATTTGTGCCACTGATCAGCATCCCCTGGGACTGGCTGTTCAGGCACGTATCAGTCGTGGATACTGTCTGCTCACCCACCCTGCAGCAGGCCTTTTTTCCAGTAGTATTTTTTTACTTGTCTTCTCCTGAGTATCAATTAATTCAGTATCTAAAATTGGACTTCACATTGAATTTATTGCTTGAATAACATGGATTATTTCAGTCTAACTGTCGTGGAACTGAATCAATGCACAGATATTTGCATGGTGTGTTGGACTGAGCCCAGCCAGCAGCTAAGCCCCCACACAGTTGCTCCTTCATCCATTCTCCCAGCAGGATGAGAGAGAGAATCAGAAGGGAAAAAGTGAGAGAAAGCATGTGGATTGAGACAAAACCATCTTAATAAGGGAAGCATAGCTTTATGTGTGAGTATAAATTCATTCCCTACTTCCCATCAGCAGGCAGATGTCTGTCCAACTCCTGGCATCAGGGTCTCAGCATATGTTAATGGAGACTTGGGAAGACAAATGTCGTAACCCTGAAAGCTCCCCCTTCCTCCTTTGCCTGAGTTTTTGCGGATGAACACGACATCCTATGGGATGGAATATCCCTTTGGTCAATTCAGGTCAGGTGTCCAGGTTGTGTGCCCTCCCAACTTCTTGCCCTTGTCAGACTTATTTGCTGGGGGGACAAGCTGGAGGGGGCAAGGGTCGGGGGGAGGGAAGAAACCTCAGTGCTGTGCAACCAGTACTCAGCAATAGCCAAGGCGCTGGTGTGTTATCCATAAAATTTCAATCACAAATGCAAAACACAGCACCATAAGGGCTTCTGTGAAGAAAATTAGTGCCATCCCAGCTAGACCCAACAAATGTGGTCAAGACACATTGTTTGCTTTTGAAAGATACTGAAATATTCCTCTGATATCCTTGTTGGTAAATCAATTGCATTTTTAGAATGCATAGAAAGATTTAACCTAATCACAATGGCGGTTTGTGAAATGTGTACAATAAATATTTCTGTGAAAGCTGGGAAGATAGCTGACATGCTGACAGAGAAGGTAGAACCGCTCTGCACACCAATGCCTTTGTGAGATTGTACTTCTTCGTTACAAGGTCACATCTCTCGAGTTCAGAAGAGCCTTGCCTCTAGATCTTAGGGTAGGGTTCAGCACACAAACTGAGGCAACTTGATTTTAGAGTAGAGGTCCATTGTTTCTCATCACTTTGAATCAGTTTGTGTGACACATCTGTCAGCCTCACACAGATGTTATCCCAGAGTGTATTGGGTAAGGGGATGGAAACTCTGGCCCATCAGAACCTGCACTCTGGTGAGGTTCACTGAGGTCAGTGGATGTGGCCACTGCTCCTCTTTCTCACCTGCACTAGACTTGCAGTAAAGCTGAGTCCTTCACCCACTTTAAACAAAAATTATAAAAGTAATAAAAAAGGAGAGAAATCCATCTCTTAAGAAAAAGAGGCCATATTTATTTCTACTTAAAATCCTGCTTACATGGCTTACGTACCAAAATAATTTCAGTTGGATTTGTACAATAGCAAACTCTGAAAGAAGAAAAAGACATAGTGCTTAGTCTAGTGCCTTTGCACTGCAGTTTCCCATCTGCTTATAGATTCATGGAATCATAGAATCAATTCAGCTGGAAAAGACATTTAAGATTATCGAATCCAAACATACATCATCCCGTCCAACCATAATGCCATTGTTAGCTAGCCAGAGAATACTTCAGGCTGAAAATTCCTTGAATCAAAAGTTAAAGTGTTTGTTACCACTTGCAAAAGCCTTGCCAATCAAATTAGCTTTCCTTGACACTATTTCCTATTTATGAAGTTTACCATAATTTTCAATCCAATGCTTCCTGAAGTCCATATTGCAGATGACTTTGGTTCCTTGCTTGCTCTCATAGCTGTGCGAGTCTTCTTCTCTTTGATCCTGACTGGAAAATTAACTTTCATAACAGTAGGCGTTTATTCCAAACATGGTTTTTCCGTGTCACGGAACTAGTGGGATTTGGAATGGTTAGTAAGAGAGGTGATTTCTGGCCACTTTGTCATCACTACATGCCAGGAGCTGGAGGTGCACACAAGGGTTCTCCAGTATCATGGGAAGTGTTGTTTAAGGTCATCAGACAGCTTTCCATCTTTGAAGAGTGACCTACTTTTGCACAAGCGAATGTTTCCTGGGCTCTTCGGTGACTGCCATGGGAAATCTTTTCAAGCTCATCTTGACAAATGTCCTGATTTTTGGCTGGGATAGAATGAATTTTCTTCCAAGTAGCTGCTGTGCTTTGGACATAGCACAAGGAGAACGTTGAGAACACTGATGTTTTTCAGGGAGCATAGCCAGGCAGCTAGCCCAAGGCTGCCAATGAAAATATTTCATGCTATAGACTTCATGCTCAGTTGTGAACGGATGTTGGGCGGGGGGCAGGAATCCTTCTTTCTAGTTTCCATGAGTTCAAATCATCTCTTGTCCAGGAGTTTGAAATTTTGGGGAATTTTGTGAAATTTGGGATTTCCGGGTACCGTGATGGCTGATTGTGGACTGAGGGTGACTTGGTCATCCAGTGTTGAGAAAACCGTGTTCTATATAGTTTATTTTGCATATTCATAATTATAATTATTATCAGTATTAGTATTTTGTTGTTGTCTTATTAAACTGTCTTTATCTCAATGCATGGGTTTTACCTTTTGTCCACTACTCCTCCCCATCCTGCTGAGCGGCTGTTAGATCTAGTTGACTGCTGCCAGATTAAACCACAGGTCACTACATGCAATCTTCTGTACCCAAAACCCACGACAGTTTCCAGTTAATGTGTTGAGGATCCATTCCACTCTTTGAGTGCTTAGAAGAACTGAGGGTCCTCTCAGTGACTAATGGGCCTGAAGTCTAGGACTTCCTCTTTTTCACTGGCTCGCAGAAGGATTAGCAAGCAATGGTGCAAAAGCTTCTTCTATGAAAGAATTCTTCAACTTTGATTTAGTGACACAAACCAGGCGTCTGACAAGAATGCAGTGTCATCTCAGGCTCTGTGTTTCAGTCAGACATTAAGCATGCATTCTCTAGTCATCCATTCACTCATCTTCATCATCAAACATCTGTGCTATTCTTAGAGGGTCGCCATCAGGGTTGGCAGTAGCAGGACCTGTGGAGAAGAAAGGAAAAAGCTTCTCTTTCTGGCTGCTGTCACCTCCCAAGGTGAAAGTGTACAGAGTTGTTTTCTTATGGACATTGTAAAATGACAGCTGCTTGGCTGAGATGTGCAGGAAGATCCCAATCCTTTGCAGCTTCCCACTCACACTCAAGCGGGTCCAAGGATCTGTGTAGGCCCAATACTCTCTCCCATCTGCAAATCCTATGACCCAGAAGCCATTCTTAGGGGACAGCGTCAATGTCCCTTTGCGAGTGACAGATTCCCGGGCAACACCCAAGGCCCAGCTTCTTCTCTTTCCGACATCCACTTCCCAGTAGTGTCTTCCAGATGTGAATCCTTCATTTGCCAGCACAAAAATGTGGGAATCAAATCTCTTCTCGTTGCTGGGCACCTTTCTGATGTTGCCAGTATCTTTCACACTCTTCCCATCATCAGAGATTTCCAGTCTGGGGTGAGCCGTGTCAGCATCCAGGGTGAAATCGACTGCAATGATGAAGTAGTTAATGTAGTGGAAAGCATAAAGGCTGCTGCTGTGAAAGGTTCTATTACATGTGCCCCCACATTGGTTCCCTTGTCATCCCTTGTTCTACACTCTGACACATCCTAGGCAGCCTCTTTGCTCAGGATACCTCTAGCTTCTGCTCTCTCACATCTCCCATATGCCTTTGTCTCTCAGCTAAGCCATGCTGAGGGAGTGGTTAGCATGCACCAAATGCAAAGCAACTCAAAGACACTTCTTTGAAGTTGCCCTGTAACTTCAGGGAGGAATGTAAAGAGTTTAACAGCCTTCATCGTGGCAACCATGTAGAGGTGACTAGAGGATAAGAACCCATGCCTTGGCATACAGTTCCACTTCGTGCAAAACCAGAATCACAGAATTTGCTTGCATGAGAGTACGGGGAGAAATTCCATTGACCAAGACCGTACCACACAAGCACACCAGATATGTGTACATGCAGCAGTAGAAATGCTCCAAAACCACCCTGAAATGAGCCTCTTCTTGCTAAAACCTACGCTTTCCTTCTAAGAATCAAAAATGCTACTTTAAACCTCTGAGACTCTGGCACTGACTTGTGAAGTTTCTTGGGCAGCAAATGAATAAGAGAAGGATTCAAAATGAGTTCTTGCTGTTAAGAAGCCATCAGAACCATTCCTTGGGACGAGAGAATGTATTTTCCAGAGCTGCATTCAGGCTGCAAGAGATGGGATACAGCATGGGTTCTTTTCTTACCTTTGTGTCGCTGTGTCTGCAGAAACTCTGTAGGCAAACAAATAAAGGGAATATTGAGTGGTTTTAACAAGGAGACCATGGGTCCAGAGAGTTTACACGAAGTCTATGATGCTGCCAGATGAGCATGCTTTTCTGCAGTAGCATGTCTTTTCTATATAGGTCAGAAACATGTCACAAGCCCATCTCGTCCTCCAAAGAGGAAAGGCCAGAGGGCACCTCACATGATTGGTCTTGCAGAATGTTTTTAAACACACTATGAATATAGAGAGGAAAAAGCACACAATCCCTGGTAAGAAAGTGAGCAGAGTGGTAGAAAGGCCAAAGACCTCATGCCTGCAGAGGTGTCTCGCAGCAGTTATGAAGGGGAAATGCCAGAGCCTTCCAGACACTTGACAATACCTCACTGCAAACCTGCTTCCTTATCCCATTCCCATATTTCTTGGAGTCCAGCTTTTATCCCATGTGAATCTTTTGCCTAATTCCTCCTGCTGCCCAAAGGCTTTCCTTAGCATTACATGATGTTTCCCAAGAAAAACTGAGTGAGGTGAGAGCACTTTGCTGAGCTGAGCAGGTTTTCAAAGGACATCTCAGCAGTTGTGTGTTTCCTATGGAGCATCAGAAAGCAGATGTCACTTACTGTTCTCTCTCTCCAGTTGGTCTGTAATGACAAAGTGAAGAGTAATCAAACACAGAAGCATGAATATTTAGAATCATAGAATCATAGAATTGTCAGAGTTGAAAGGGACCTTAAAGATCATCTCGTTCCAACCCCCCTGCCATGACCAAGGACATTTTCCACTAGACCAGTTTTCTCAAAGACCCTCCAACCTGGCCTTGAACACTTTCAGGGAGGGGGCATCCACAGCTTCTCTGGGCAACCTGTTCCAGTGTTTCACCACCATCATGGTGAAGAATTTTTCCCTAGTATCTAACCTAAATCTGCCGTCTTTTGGTTTACAGCCATTCCCCCTTGTCCTATCACTACACACCCTTGTGAAAAGCCCCTCTCCATCCTTCCTGTAAGTCCCCTTCAGGTACTGGAAGGCTGCTCTAAGGTCTCCCCTCAGCCTTCTCTTCTCCAGGATGAACAGCCACAACTCCCTCAGCCTGTCCTCATAGGAGAGGTACTGCAGCCCTTGGATGATCTTCGTGGCCCTCCTCTGGACCCACTCCAACACATCCATGTCATTCTTATGTTGGGGGCTCCAGAGCTGGATGCAGTACTCCATGTGGGGTCTCATGAGAGCGGAGTAAAGGGGCAGAATCACCTCCCTGGATGTTCTGGCCATGCTTCTCTTGATGCAGCCCAGGGTATGGTTTGCTTTCTGGGCTGCAAGCGCACATTGCTGGCTCATGTTGAGCTTCTCATGCACCAGTACCCCCAAGTCCTTCTCCTCATAATTTCTACAAGAACCCTTTGAGAAGTAAGGATGCTCTTCCGCTGTCTCTTGAAATAAGGACCATGGATCCCAAAGACTTCTCCTCACCAGCTACTACACATCAAGCCTTGTGGGTGCTGATACCTTGCATCAGAAGAAAAGCAATGGCCAAAGCCACCCAGAATTTAATGACCTCACAACAGGTGACGTCTGTCCACACTGAAAATCATAATCTTCTACCTACATGTATTTACTTCCTTCTCTCCTTCCCTCTCTCTCTGTTACTCCAATCCTTTTCCCTCCTTCCCACAGGAGCTTTTTTCAAGGGCAAGCTCTTTGTGCGGACTCCAGCCACACATGAAGGGCTCAGCTGGTGGTACAACCAGGGCGACCTGTTGCAGGATTTAGAAGAAAGCTTTGCTGCTGTGCAGGATGGTGGAGGACCTGCTGTGAAGCTACATATATGGGGAAAGCACTCCTCAGCATTGGTGGACCCCCAGTTTGAAGGACAGGACCCCTTAACACAGCCCATGACATCCCCCCTGTCTGTTCTTCCTGAAGTCACTGTGCCAGAGCAGCAGTGCCAGCTCAAGGAAGTATGGCACTGTGCAGAGAGGGAGGCAAGCAACAGGCTCTGTTGTATGCTGGTAGGAGGAAGGCTGGGGCCAGGGACACAGAATGCTCCCCATTCCCATGCCGCGCTCTAGGGACAAGCAGCATCCCATATGCCAGGCAGCGCTCACCTATCTTCCCTTGAATTTGTCCTGCAACAGAGAGAAGAAAGGCAGTTACAGAAATTGGAGGATGCATTGCATGAAGCCCCATGGAAGGGGTTTGCTAGAGTTGGGATCCTCCCAAGAAGTCCAGTGCATTCATGGACAAGCGCAAGTTTGTGCTAAGGCCAAGTCCTGCCCCTGGCAACCTTGAGGGTGCTGGTGCCTTGCCGCAGCACAAAGGCAACTTGCCACGGCCATGCAGCCGGACTTAAAAGACATAAAAGGTAAATTCTGTCCACACTGAAAAATGAATTCTTCGACCCCACCAGAATTTCCTTCCTTCCTTACCTCCTTCCCTCAGACTCTTAGTCATTCCTTCCCTCTTCCCTCCTTCCCAAATAAGCTTTTCTCAGGGGCAAGCCATATACTAAGATTCCAGACACACCTGAAGGCCCGAGATGGTGTGCCTGAACATGGGGACCTGATTAAGAATCACAAGGACAGAGCATTCATGGCCAAAATGGAGAGACCTTTGTCCCACAGACACTGGTATGTCTCACTTTGCAGGAGTCCCTTCCTCCCAAACAAAAACATCCCAGATAGAAGACATAACTTACCCTTCTCCTTCTGTACCTGGGCTACAAAAAGAAGGGCAAAGACAGTTAGCAAAGAGAAATCGTTGGGCTCAGTCCTCACTTGGGCTCCTGATGTCAGTGTTTAACTGTCTCTGTCTTTCCTTTGCAAGAGATGATTGTTACTGGGGTGAAAGGGATCTAAAAGAATGGGGACCCGGTGGCATTGGGCCCAGCATGGAGCCTGGAGGCTCTGCAGATTTATTACCAACCATGGGCTCTCAGAAGCTGCAAGGCGTGATGCTGACTGAGCTTCTAGAAGCATGGCCAGTTGATGCATGGATAGAGGCTGGGCAGGCCGCAGTGGGCATCAAGTGATCCGCTGTGGGCTGCTGAGTTCAAAGGAGATAGGGAGAAGCTGAAGAGGTTTTAGCAGAGATCTCTCCAGCTGTGCAGGACTGTGGACTTCCTGCCATGTCTGGACTGCAAAGTGATGCCACAAACACCGTACATGCATCCAAGAAGAGATGAGATACACTGTCTTAAAGGAACCTGTAGCTGCAGGAAGGGCATTGCCCTAGAGGATGGTGAGAAGCATGGGTAGGTAGGGCTAGACACTTTCAGAAGGGAGACAATGGGAGCTGGGGAGTGTGACACTAGATATATGGGGGATGTGCCCCTGGGCAAGGCTGGGCTCCCACTTTGAAGAATGGGATCTCTTAACAAAGCTCATGACTTTCCCCTGTGCATTCCTGTTGAAGCCACCGTGCAAGAGCAGTGGTACCAGCTGTGGGAAGGAGGGCACTGTGCAGAGAGAGATTCGGTTGAACTCAGCATTTTACAAGCATGCATAGAAGGTCATTCTGACTTTGTTCTTTAGCTAGAATATGTACTGTAGGGTTAAAGGAAGGCCAAGGTGTTGACAAGAGTGGCTGATACAGGAATGAGTCCTCAGGGAATATGCTTCCTTGAGAATGAAATATATCTTGGAAAAATATGTAAGGTAATTAAGAAGTTTTTGAGGAATTTGGAACTATCAGCAGAAGAATGATAAAAAAAACCCTTAATCAATTAACCTCATTATAATACTAAAAAAGAAACCTCTTCAGCTGAAGTCCGCAGAAAAAGCAGTGACCCGTACTCACTGAGCATGCGTAGTAAATTTTAGAAGGACTGCATCTTTAAACCCAAAAGGGAAGAGAACTAACCGGTCATAGTAAGGATGCTATGGCTAATAAGCAGCACCAACATTTTTAACGGTATAAATATGCAACATGATTGCAACCAGGTGTGCTAGCTTTGTGGAAATCCAGCTAGCACCTGAGTTTGCACAAAACCTGAAACAGACTTATATCTCAGCTCAGTGTACGTGTTCGGTGTATCCAGCAGGTAACAAACTCAGTTTTTGTTTGTGAGACAACAGTCAGAACCCAGGGACACAGAACTCTCCCCATTCCCACCCTGTACTCTAAACACAAGCAACCTCCCACATGCCAGGCAGCACTCACCTATCTTCTCTTGAAGTTGTCCTGCAAAGGAGAGAAGAAAGGCAGTCACAGAGAGCACAGGACGCATTGCAGGATGCCCCAGGGAATCGGCTGGCTAGAGCTGGGATCCTCGCAAGAACTCCAGTGCATTCATGGACTAGTGCAGAAGTGTGCTGAGACCAAGTCCTACCCCTGGCAATCTTGAGGGTGCTGGTGCTTCACAGCAGAAGGACGGCACCTTGCCAAGGGCACCCAGCTGGACTTCAAAGACCTCACAGAAAGTGACTACTCCCACACTGAAAACCACATTCCTCCACCCCACAAGAGTTTCCTTCCTTCATGCTCTCCTTCCCTCCCTCTCTTAGTCATTCCTTCCCTCTTCCCTCCTTCCTACATGAAGTTCTCTCAGGGCCAAGCCATTTACATAGATTCTAGGGACATGTGAAGGTTTCGCAAGAGTTACGTGAAAATGGCTAAGTGCTGCAGGGACCCCAAGGACACCATGCCCGTGGCTCACATGGATACACCCCTCTCCCTCAGAAACCAGCACGTACCTCTGCCAAGGAGCCTCTCCCTCTAGATCAGTAACACCTCAGACAGCAGACAACACTTACCCTTCTCTTCTTGTAAGTGGGCTACAAAACAAAGGGGAAATGCCATTAGCAAAGAGACACCACTGCGCTCAGTCCCTATGTTGGATACAGTGATGAGCATTTCTCTAGGTCTGCCTTTAGACCACCCTTGTTGACGGTTGCTGAGGGGAAAGGGATCAGAAATAATTGCAAGCTGTTGGTATGGACAGAGAATGGAGTCTGGAGGCTCTACAGGAGAAGAGGCAACCCTGGGCTCTCAGCAGCTGCAAGGCAAGAGGCTGCCTGAGCTTCTGGAAGCATGGCCATGTAATGCATGAAGGGAGGCGTGGAAGGCCACAGTTGGCAATGAGTGATCAGCTGTGGGCTGCTGAGTTCAAAGGAGATAGGGAGAAGCTGGAGAGGTTTCAGCAGTGCGCTCCCAAGCTGTGCAGGATGGTGGCCTTTCTGCCAGGCCTGGACTGCCAGGTGAAACCACATGCACTTTACATGGTTCCAAATGGAGACAAAAGGCCCCGTCATCATGGAGCCTGTAGCTCCAGGAAAGGCATTGCCCAAGAGGATGGTGAGACACATGGGGAGGTACGGCTGGACTCATTTAGCAGAGACACATTGCCATGAATTGGAGCTGGGACGGTGATGCTAGACATATGGGGAACTTTCCCTTTTGGTAATGGTGGAATCCCACTCTGAAGGACGGGAGCCCGTAACAATGCTCATGACTTTCCCCTGTGCATTCCTGTTGAAGCCACCATGGCAGAGCTGTGGTGCCAGGTTTGGAAAGGAGGGCACTGTGCAGAGAGGGAGCAAGTAGCAGGCTCTGCTCCTTGCTGGCAGGGAGGAGGGCTTCTGGTCGGTTGAACTCAGCATTGTACAGGCATGCATAGAAGGTCAGTCTGATCTAATTCTTTAGCTAGAATACGTACTGTAGGGTTAACGGAAGGCCAGGGTGTTGACAAGAGTGGCTGATACAGGAATGAGTCCCATATCGTGGAAAAATATGTAAGCTAACCAAGATATTTTTGAGCAGTTTGAAACTGTCAGCAGATGAATGATAAAGGGCACCTTTAAATGAGCTATCCTCATTAGAATATTAAAAATGATACCTGCTGAGCTGTAGTCCCCAGCCCAAGCAGCGACTCGTACTCACTGGACAAGTGTAGTATATTTTAGGAGGGCAGGATCTTCAAACCAAAGTGAGAAGAGAACTAACCAATCATAGTAAGGGCGGTATGGCTAATGGGCATCGCTGCCATTTTTAACTCTATAAATATGGAATGTGGTTGCAACCAGGTGTGCTACCTCTGTGGCAATCCAGCTAGCAGCTGAAATTGTGCAAAACCTGAAACAGACCTAGATGTCATCTCTGTGTACATATATGGTGTTGCAGAGCAGATAAAGAAGTCTGTTTGTGAGACGACAGGCTGAGGCCAGGGACACCGAGCTCTCCCCATTCCCCCTCTGCACTCTGGGGCCAAGCAGCATCCCTCATGTCAGGCAGCACTCACCTATCTTCTCTTGAAGTTGTCCTGCAAGAGAGAGAAGAAAAGCAGTTTCAGAGAGCGCAGGATGCATTGCAGGATGCCCCAGGGAATCAGTTGTCTGGAGCTGGGATCCTCGCAAGAAGGCAAGTGCATTCATGGACTAGTGCAGAAGTGTGCTGAGACCAAGTCCTGCCCCTGGCATTCTTGAGGGTGCTGTTGCCTCACAGCAGAACAAGGGCACCTTGCCAAGGGCACCCAGCTGGACTTCAAAGACCTCACAGAAGGTGACTTCTGCCCACACTCAAAATCCTAGTCCTCAATCCTGCTGGTATTTCCTTCATTCCTTCCTTCTTTCCTTTCTATCTCCCTTCATCATGCCTTCGGTCTTCCAATTTCTACTGAGTTGAAAAGTCCTGCCAGGCCTGGACTGTTAGGGGAGGTCACGTGCAACATCTGTGTAACCAAAAGAAAATGAAGGGAACTATATGCAAGGAACCTGTAGATCCAGTAAGTGCATTGCCCAAGAGCATGGGTGAGAAGCATGGATAGAAATACACAGGCTCTTTAGAAGGGACACTTTGCCATGAAGCGGAGCTGCAGAGATCTAGGCTAGACGTGCGGGGAATGTTCCCTATGGCAATGGTGGAATTTGACTTTGATGGATGGGACCCACTGGGAAAACCTTATGACTTTCTGCCTTCGTGTTCCTGTTGAAGACGACATGCAAGGGCAGTGGCGCCAGGTGAAGAAAAAAGGACAAATAGGCAGAAAGGGAAACAAGCAGCAGGCTCTGAAGCTTGCTGGGAAGGAGGAAGGGCTGGGGCCAGGGACACAGAGCTTTCCCCATTCCCACTGTGCACTCAAGGGACAAGCAGCTTCCCGTATACCAGGCAGCACTCACCTGTAGTCTCTTGAAGGTGTCCTGCAAAGGAAACGAGAAAGGCATTTGTAGGCCTTGAAGGATAAATTGCAAGATGCACCAGGGAAGGGGATTGACATGGTTGGCATCCTCCCGAGAAGTCGAGTGCATTCATGGACAAGTGCCAGTTTGTGCTAAGGCCAAGTCCTGCCCCTTGGCAACCTTGCGGGTGCTGGTGTCTCACCACAGCACAAAGGCAACTCAAATAGGCCATGCAGCCGGACTTAGTAGACATCAGACAACATGACTTCTGCCCACAATGAAAACCATATTCCTCCACCCCACAAGAGTTTCCTTCCTTCCTACTTTCCTTCTATCTCTCTCCCTGTCATTCTTTCCCTCTCCCCTCCTACCCGTATGAGGTTCTCTCAGGACCAAGCCATTTACACAGATTACAGACACACCTGAATGTTTCGGATGAGTTACCTGAACATGTCTAATTGCTGCAGGTACCCCAAGGACACCATACATTTGGCCCACATGGGGACACCCTTGTCCCTCAGAAACAAAGCATGTTCCTCTGCCAAGGAGCCTCTCCCTCTACAATGGCAGTCATCCTTTCCCGCTCCCCTCCTACCCGTATGAGGTTCTCTCAGGACCAAGCCATTTACACAGATTACAGACACACCTGAATGTTTCGGATGAGTTACCTGAACATGTCTAATTGCTGCAGGTACCCCAAGGACACCATACATTTGGCCCACATGGGGACACCCTTGTCCCTCAGAAACCAACATGTCCCTCTGCCAAGGAGCATCTCCCTCTAGAACGGTAACACCTCAGACAGCAGAGAACACTTACCCTTCTCGTCTTGAATGTGGGCGCTAGAAAAGGAAGGGTAAAGGCAGTTAGTAAAGAGAGATGGCCGGGCTCAGTCCCCACTTTGGATGCAGACATGGGTGTTTCTATAGGTCTGCCTTTCCGTTGCCCTAGGGGATGGTTACTGAGGTGAAAGGGATCAGAAATAATTGCAAGCCATTGGCATGGAGTGAGCCTGGAGCCTGGAAAATCTGCAGGAGCAGAGGCAACCCTGGGGTCTCAGCAGGTGCAAGGCAAGATGCTGCCTGAGCTTCTGGAAGCATGGCCAAGTGATGCATGATGTGAGCCTTGGAAGGCCACAGGTGGCATTGATTGATAAGCTGTGAGCACCTGAGTTCAGAAGACATAGGGAAGGGTTATGGAGGCCTTAGCAGAGATCTCCCTGTCTCTCCAGGATGGTGGAGGAGGTGCCATGACTGGCCTGCCAAGGGAGGCCAAGGAATCCTTCCATGTGGCCAAGAGGAGATTCAGGGGAAGCATCTGTAAGGAACCTGTAGCTCCAGGAAGGACATTGCCGAAAAGGATGAGTAGAAGCATGGATAGGTGGGGATGATTATTTATGAGGGAGTCATGGCCATAAAATGGCGCTGGGGAGGGTGAGGCTAGGCATACGGGGAACGTTCTCCTTGGCAAGGGTGGACTGCCACTTTGATGGGTAGTGGTGACCGACAAAAGCCCATGACACTTGCTCTGGGCATTTCTGTTGATGTTGTTGTGCCAGATCAGTGGTACCATGTGATGAAAAGGGAGCAAGGGGCAGAGAAGAAGGCAAGCGACAGGCTCTGTTTGCATCTGGAAGGGAAGACAGCTGGGTCCAGAGACACAGAGCGCTCCCCATTCCCACCGTCACCTGTAGGGACAAGCAGACTCCCACACAGTGGTCAGCACTCACCTATCTTTCCTTCATATTGTCCTGCAAAGGTGAGGAGAAAGGCTGTTACAGTCAGTGGAGAATGTGTTACATGAAGCCCCAGGGAAGGGTTTTGCTGCTAGTTGGGATCCTCCCAAGAAGTTGAGTTCATTCTTTGGAATAGTGCATGTGTGTTCTGAGGCTATGAATATGCTGACAACCTTGAATATGCTGGTGCCTCTCAGCAGAACAAAGACACATGGCCAACGCCACCCAGCTGGACATGAAAGCCCTCACACAGGTTAAAATCTATGCCCACTGACAATGATATTCCTCCAGCCACTGCTATTTCTTTCCTTTCTTCCTTTAATCCTTCCTTCTGTCTCTTTGGCATTGCTTGCCCCTTTGCTTCTTCATACATGAGGTTTTTTCAGGGGCAAGGCATTTACAGCAGTTTCCAGCCACCCCAGAAGGTGCCATGTGGGCTGCCGCAACATGAGTACCTGCCGTATGGAACCCCAAGGACATTGCGCTTGTGGCCACAAGGACAGCCTCTTATCCTGCAGACAACAGCATGTTCTTCTGCGAAGAAGCCTCTCCCCTCAGAACATCAACACCCCAGACAGCAGAGACCACTTAATCATAACCTCTTTCACTTGGACTCCAAAAGGAAGGGGAAAGGCCATTCGGCAAGAGAGATGGCGGGTCTCAGACACAATGTGGGCTCCCAACGTGGGCATTTTGCTGAGTCTGCCTTTCTTTGCCAGAGTTCATGTTTCCTGGGGGAAGGCGACCTGCAAAAAATGGGCCCCAATAGCCATGCCCATAATCAAGCCTGGAGGCTTTGCAGGAGAGCAGCTACCCATGGTCTCCCAGCAGCTGCAAGGCATGATGCTGACTGAGCTTCTAGAAGTATGGCCAAGTGATGCATGGAGAGAGGCTGGGGAGGCCCCAGCCGGCAATGAGGGATC